GTTTGTTTGTTTGTTAATTAGTTAGTTAGTTTATTTGCTTGTTTTAATCAATTTTAAATCATGCTTTTTATTTGTTCTTGTTTCTAATGTCTCTGTAAAGCACTTTGAATCACCTTGTTGTTGAATTGTGCTATACAAATAAACTTGCCTTGCCTTGCCTTGCCTTGATGCAGATGTCCTAAAAATTTAGGTCACTTAGGTGATCCTGTCAGTTTCAAAGGCTTTCTGTTTTTCCACTAATTTTCACAATGTAATCTTAACAAGTAAACAATAACAAAAAAGGGGGCTGAAACAAATAATGCTTAGCAAGTGTGTTTAGGTGCTGTAGATTATAATAATTCTGAGATATTACCACAAACAGTTGTTATCATTAACGTACATTACACTAGTAAGTCATAGACCAGAACAGAAGTCCAGAAGTTTTTTTTTTTTTTCATGTGCTATGTGCAGAGGTGTTTTTTTTTCTGTTCTCAAACTGATCTCCCTGTTGGAGCTCAGTCTGAGGGGAGTTATTTTTTTCTCCTTATCTTTCCTCATGTGGTGCATTTTCCATTGTTATACCTCTCTGACCTGTCTTCCCCATGTGATGTTTTGTGTCATGTATGTATGGTCGGAGGGTAAGATGGCGCCGGCATTACGGGCAATAGGTCGGCAGCCTTATGAAATTTCCCCTTGTGGGACTAATAAAGGTATATCAAATCAAAAGAAGAGCAGACTGTAGTCAGATTGACTACGCTATAAAGAACCACATAGCACAGCAAAAATAATACATTAAATTAGCATTCAGGAGGCTATGTTTGGCAGTATAAAGTACATATAGTGCATGTGTACTGACAGGAACACTACCATCCTGCACCTGAATGATTTAATGTGAACAGCTGATAGTGTTTTGCTTTCTTTCAGGTAGAGAATATTATGAAAGGTTCGATTCTTTCTCGATACTTCAACTGCACCACTGTGTTTGCCTTTGGGTATGTACATTACATTTTTTCTTCACATAGTCATAAGTCAGAGTCATAAAAACAGGAATGGGGCAGTACTGTAGTTTAGTGGTAGTGCCAGCAGTGATTCTAAAATACAAATTGAGCCTTGAACTAGGTTGATAAGTAGTGAATATTGTGCCATCATGACTCCAAGTTCAGTTCAAGTTTTTGTCAACAGGAGGATATTTTCTACTGATAAGCTTTGAGTAAAATTTAAAATCTACACTGTTCTGCACATTTTTTCTTAAAACTAACCTCTGAAAAATATCTTTGTGGCTTTAACATACGGTAAGCTTTTACTCTGTTTTCAATAAGGGAGCAGCCACCAGTTGTTTCTTTATAGTGGTTGGTGTTTTATGCTAACTGCTACAATACTGATGTGTTTCAACAAGTTCAGAATCTACCGCTTTCTGAACTGACAAAAACTGAAGATGATCAACTTTATCCTACCAACAGGTTTAGGTATATTATGGTAAATGGTCTGTATATGTATAGCGCTTTTACTAGTCCTAGGGACCCCAAAGCGCTTTACACACCCATTCACCCACACCCTGGTGGAGGCAAGCCACAGCTGCCCTGGGGCAGACTGAGAGAAGCAAGGCTGCCATATCGCGCCATCGGCCCTTCTGGCCAACACCAGTAGGCGGTAGGTGAAGTGTCTTGCCCAAGGACACAACGACCGAGACTGTCCGAGCCGGGGCTCGAACCGGCAACCTTCCGGTTACAAGGCGAACTCCCAACTCTTGAGCCACGATCGATTATAATCAACCCAAGATCGTGAGGTAAAAGTACCAACTGTATTGCAGGTCATGCGTGTTTCTATAGACTGTATACAAAAAGCTCGACATGGCAACCTTAAAATGATAAACTACAGACTATAGACTGATTGTAGAGTTCAAAATTCACCTTGTTCAGATGTTGCTGTTTTATTTTTCATTTCTTTTTTCTTTTTATTTATACTGTAAATTTGCGGATTTTAGCTGGGAAGTTGCTTTTGGGCCCAAACAAGTGAAACACTGTGACTATTTAAGAAACTGTCCTTTTTGGTATTTCACCAGATACCTGCAAAAACAAGCATACTTATGACAACATGAAGCCATGGACACCAAATACTTTGAATCAGTAAAGACAGTAAAACACTAGAAGTCAAAAGTTTGGACACACCTTCTCATTTAATGGTTTTTCTTTATTTTTACTACTTTCTACCTTTGTAGATACATGCTGAAGACATCATATATGAAGCAAGATATGTGGAATTATGTAGAAAAAAAGTTGGTAAATATATCTAAATAGGTTTTATATTTTAGATTCCTGAAAGTAGCTACTCTTTGCTTTGTTGACAGCGCTGCAAACCCTTGGCTCTCTCTCAATGCACTTCATGATGTAGTCACCTGCAATCGTTTTCATGTCACAGGTGTGCCTTGTCAGTGTTCAATTGTGGAATTTCTTGCCTTCTTTGTCTGACACTGTTGGGGATTTATTCAAAATTGAAGGCACACTGAGCCAGCATGGCGACCACAGCAGCCTGCAGCGACATTACATCCCATCCAGTTTACCTTTATTTTGACCATAATTTCATTTTCAACAGGACAGTGACCCCAAACACACCTCCAGGCTGTGTAAGGGCTATTTGACCAAGAAGCAGAGTGATGAAGTGCTGCACCAGATGGCCTGTTCTCCTCAGTCACCTAAACTAAACCCAAACGCAATGGTGTGGGGATAAGACTGTATAAGACTATTGGAAAACTATTTCAGGTGACGACCTCATGAAGTTCATCGAGAGAATGCCAAGAGTGTACAAAGCAATCTAAAATATAAAAAGCGGTTTGAGTTATTTCACACGTTTTTGTTTCCTGCATAATTTCATATGCTCATTCATAATTTTGATGCTTTCAGTGAGAATGTACAATGTGAATAGACATGAAAATAAAGAAAAACCATGAAATGAGAAGGTGTGTCCAAACTTTTGACTGGTCTTTCATCGAGTCTTGGTTGTCTTTTTGTCTCTGCAGGGAAGGAAGTGTTGTGGCTCACTTCTGGATACTGCTGAATATACCCAGCAGCCATGCTGAGGGAGTCACGCTGGAGAAGGTCAGAAGGAGCCTGGTGGAGGGGCTGAAGGGGTACAGCAGGTCAAAGGTGGAAGAGACAGCCAGCTTTGATGGATACCTTTTCCATCTCCCTACACTATCTGTCAGTGGTGAGAGGAAGAACATGGGCAGAAAAACAGCTAAAGGAAGATTTAAATTTAATGTACATTTAATTTAATTTCTGTTTCTTTTTGTTCTGCTCCCTACAGAAACTGACCCCAAAGTTGTAAAACTTTTGAAAGCCTCATTTGGTATCAGATTTTATTTCAGTTTGTTTATAATTTTTTGTTTTGTATTAATTAATTCATGTACCGGAACTTTAATTACAAGTAGCACAGTCCACTGTACATTAGACAAGAAATAAAGTAACTCATGGGAACAAAGGTAAACAGGATTTTATGTTGAGCATGCTTCTCAGTATAATTTCATTTATTATACTGTATACATAATTCACTGAACAAATGTGATTTTGGGGTGAAAGGCAAAAATTTTAAAGCCTTATTTTGACATTTGAACTCCACCTCTATTAGGTCGCATCATTATTTAATTGGCAACATTTAATACCCATTTTTTGACTTGCTTAGATGGGCACTCATTGGTCATGGTTAGAGTTTAACTACATCATAGTACAGGTAGTTTATATGTTTAGTTTTGAAATGACTTTAAAATGTTTTGAAAGGGGCATAATAATAACACGATAAAAACAATGGAACTTGGATACTAACTAACAACTGAATTATTTAAATTTGCTAACAACATATTTGACCTACAGCTTTATTAGCACAGACGCCAAAAACTCTATAAACTGATTTTCTCTTGTGTTATACTTTTACATGGCACATTGTTCTAGTTTAGTCTGATCTTTTAATTGTTTCTTTTTAGACAATTCCTTTTAACGTAATAGCTCCATATCTAAAGTCAAAGTAAAACTTTATATTTAGTGTAATGTCATCAATCCCTATCAGCTTAAGTTAAACCATAGAAGCAAAAGCCATTGAAGTTTAACATTTACAAATCCTATCATCTGTGCACAAAAGTACAGACTCAGTTCTGACTTTAATTCTTGCCTTTTTTGCCCCAAGACTGCTACCGCTATCAGAAGGTGGTGTCCAGCAGCCCCATTCTGCTCCTTGGCCCTAACACGCAGCGTTCCTCCTGTCTGTGGCACCTCCAGACCACCCCAAGCTCCCAGCTTGAGCTCCATATGGAGTGGCTGCTTCCAGAGTGCAGTGACAGACTGCTGGTGTACAACTCGCTCACCCCTGCTGATAATCATCTCATCACATCGTGAGTCTCTCCTAACAATATAAGTATATTTAGACTGATACACAGCACTGTGAGGCATTAATGTAAAGTGACAGGAATATTTAAAAACCACAAAAATGAAATCAATATTTGGCCTGACCTTTAAAATAGGATGATCTACACATATCTAGGCCTCTATAGTTCCTGTTATAGATGTCCAAAATAGAAACTCATACTAACACGTTATTATCACTATTATTTATGGGCTCTGTGCAACTTTCCTTCCTTCCTACCAGTGTGTATGGCTGCAGCAGACATGAGCGCGTGGTCCGTGTCCTGTCATCAGGAGAGTGGATGACAGTGGTTTGGAAACAGGGTCTATACAATTACAAGGAATCCTTTTCTTTGTCTGTGCAGGCTTGGGAACACCAGGGTAAGCCTACCTGAATGTTTGCACTTCTCTCTGGTAAAAAATGTATCATACAATAATTTGACTAAAAGTCAGCATCCTAACATGCAATGTCAACTTTTTGGTGGCACTAGAAAATTTCAGGTCATTGCCCAAGTGATTATGTTACATCATCTGGAAAACGTTTTGGTATTCTGTCCAGTAGATATTTAGATATATCACACTGTAAATGAAATTATAGTTAGTTGTGCAAGAGCTACAGGAATGACCAGAGTGAGTGGGATTTAGTCTCTGGGCAGCAGATATCAATATCCTCATGTATTTGTATTGCAATCTATCTTGGTCTTACAAAACCAAGAATCAATCAAGTTGTGTTCTGAAAGACATGGTAGAAATCAATCTTGTGTGGATCCTGCTATATTCATGAGTCCCCCTCTTCTTTTCTGTATATATTCACATTAAATGATTATATTGTGGACTGAACAATCTTTCTTGCTTTGTGTCTTCCTCATTCTTAGACTGTAATTCCACTATACAGCTGGATGCAGTATCAGGGGTCCAAGGGACACTAAAGACACCCTTCTTTCCCAGCTACTACCCTCCTGACACCAACTGTACCTGGAACTTTACTGTAAGCCTCTCCTTCAGCCGTGCATCTTTTATTGATCCACACATTGATTGATTATTTTATTTATCATCAAATGATCCACGTCAAACTTTGAATCACTAAAGGTAACTCGTATTTTAATAAAGAACCTGTCAAGTAAATGACTTGATTGATACATTTACTGTCCTGTGTGTGACTTCAGATGCCCAGTGCAGGGATGGGCTTATGTTTGACATTTGAGGGCTATGAGCTAAGCAGAGCCAGCTACAACCAGGCCTGTACCCAGGGACAGTGGGTCATCCAGAATCGCAGGTAAGCTGTGCCACAAAGACCTTTTTCAGCCCAGTAAAGCAACGTTAGTGCCTATTCTGGAACTTATTAGACATGTTTACACACACAAAAAGAACATTTGAGATAGCCCAACACAACACAAATCCTCATCATAACTGATATAGCGGGTCGTGCTTTCAAATAGTTCCCTTTTTAGCAAATAGTCATGTGTAAAGGATTTTGTCTTTCTGTGTAATGCACAGGTGCTGGGTTCTGCTTCTTCTCAGCCTCAGTAAAAAGTATTTAGACCCTGAGAGGATTTTGTTCCCTACTGAACAACAGGGGGCAGTGTTGTACCACACAAGCCAACCAAATCCCCTTATGTTTGAGAGCATTTTAATTCCAGTATAGGCAATTTACATTTTTTTAAAAAATTTTTAAACTCACAAATCCCTTACTTTCTTTATTTAATCAGGAAGAAACCGATCAATAGTTTCTTGTACAAGTGGAGAGGTGATGCCTTCAGGGACACGTCCCTTCACTTTCACCCTCCCTCTCCTTTCTCAGGCTGTGCGGCACCAGGGCTCTGCAGCCCTACAGCGAACGTCTCTTCCTGCTCTCTACGACAGCCACTATCTTCATGACATCTGAGGTGTCACTCACAGGGCCGGGCCTTCAGCTGCAATACAGCGTCTTCAACCTGTCAGATCGTGAGTTGTGGATGCTGGAACTGACAGCCATGAAATGTTGATGAAAATATTGGGATGTCACTTTGTGACCTTTTCTCAGCATAATTTCGAGCTCTGTGTGTATTTGTGTTTTATAGCTTGCCCAGGACAGTTCCTGTGCACTGTGAATGGTCTCTGCGTGCCCATCTGTGATGGAATCAAGGACTGTCCCAATGGCCTCGATGAGAGAAACTGTGGTATATACAGAACTCCAAACATAAATAACTCTCCCTTCACATTGAGAGGGTAGAGTAAGTGCTCAAATACTGAATGTGACACATAAATGTGCCCATTCTAAGTAAAATAATGTTGAATTTATTGTCTATCAGCCACCACCCTCTCGGTGAGGCCACTTGTGACACTGGAGAGCCAAAACTGCCAGATTTATATGACATGGATGAGAGTAGAACTGTTCCAGAAAAACATCAGATATGTGAGGCTTATCAGAGTGCTGCTAATGAAAGCTGCCTGGCTTTAAATCCAGGGGTGATGTTGATCTGATCTGATGGGCCTACTCTTTAAAAACCCCATGAAAGCACTTGGAAGGCAGAAAGAATCTCTAATTTTAAAACCTGTGAGTGTTGGCAGCCTGTCAAGCTACAATGCTCTCAGTGGTTTGACTAAGGTCAAGTGTTCACTATTGATTCAGTGCTGTGAAAAAATGTTCATCCCCGTCCTGATTCTTTTGTTTTTGCACATTTTTTAAGACCTAAATATTTCAGATAGCATCTTTAGCATAGCATCTTTATTTATAACGCACTTTACATCCAACAATGTTGACCAAAGTGCTACAAATATAAAACAGAGAGGAAACAGTTTAAATTACATATAAAATATCTTAAAATTAAAAATAATATAATTAATAAGAAAATATATTAAGAGACATCAACAAGTCCTGCTGTGCTAAAAGCCAAGGAAAATAAATGTTTTAAGACGTGATTTAAAAACAGATAAGGAAGGTGCCTGTCTAACATGTAAAGGCAACTCATTCCACAATTTTGGTGCTGCCACAGCAAACGCCCGATCCCCTCTGAGCTTACGATTAGTCCTGGGCACACTCAGGAGGAGCTGGTCTGCCGACTTGAGGGACCGGGAAGGTATGTATGGATGAAGAAGCTCAGAGAGGTACACAGGGGCAGCATTGGACAAACATTTAAAAACAAATAAAAGCAGCTTAAAATGGATCCTAAAATGCACGGGCAGCCAATGAAACTGGGGTGATATGCTCGTATCTACGAGTGCCAGTTTAAAGCCGTGCAGCAGTATTCTGGACTAGCTGCAGTCGAAAAACAGAAGATCGACTCACCCCAAAATAAAGAGAATTACAGTAATCCAGCCGAACGGTTACAAAAGCCTGGATTACTGTTTCAAATTGCTGTCTCGTAAGAAAGTGTTTAATTTTGGCCAGTTGCCTCAGATGAAAGAAACTAGACCTTACAACCAACCCGATCTGGCTTTCAAGCTTAAGCTCAGGATCCAGGGTGTCCAGGGTGTACCCCGCCTTTCGCCCTATGGCAGTTGGGATAGGCTCCAGCGCCCCTCGCGACCCTGAAAAGGATAAGCGGAAGCGAATGGATGGATGGATGGATGGTTTACAGAATGATTTCAGGGATTGCAGATCAACACACGGAACAGCAGTGGAAGCAGGTCTAAACACCATTACTTCAGTTTTAGAATCGTTAAAACAAAGAAAGTTTAGCGCCAACCACGACTTGACGTTCTGCAGACATCATCAAGAGAATTTTAATATTAGACAAAGATAACCAGGGATAAGGGAAAAAGCTATCTAAACCTTCCTGGCCCTGTGTGATGAAGTAAGACATCTAAAAAAGGTGAGATAAAAAGTCAGTGACATCTATCTGTCTGGAAAGGGTTAGAACGCCATTTCTAAGGCTTTGGGACTCACAGTAAACTACAGTGAGAGTCATATCCACAAAAGGAGAAACCTTGGAACAGTGAACCTTTCGAGGAGTGGCTGGCCTACCAAATTTACTCCAAAAGTGCATTGAAGACTCATCCAGGAGGCCACAAGAGAACCTAGAACAACATCTAAAGAACTGCAGGACTCATTTGCCTTAGTTAAGGTCAGAGTTCAACAACAATGAGAAAGAAACTGGGCAAAAATGGCCTCCATGGGAGAGATCAAGGAGAAAAAAAGAACACAAAGACTCGTCTGACATTTGCCAAGGTTTACATCTGGTGTAAAACTAGCACTGCATTTCATGAAAACATCATCATACTAACAGTCAAACATGGCGGTTGGTGGTAGAGTGATGGTCTGGGCTGCTTTGCTCGATGACTTGCTGTAACTGAAGGAACCACAGATTCTGCACGAAGATCCTGAAGGTGAACCACTGAACCACTCAGGCTGAACGACCGCTTGGTTTATAGGAACACCAACCCTTTTTCACATAGGGTCAGGTAGGTTTGGATGGCTGTTTTCCATTAATAAATAAAATCATCATCATTTAAAAACTGCATTTTACTCAGGTTATCTAACATTTAACTATGACAAACATGCAAAAACATAATACCAAAAATATGGAAGCGACAAATACTTCTTCATGGCAAAGACTAATGCTAATACTATACTAATTTACAGAAAGTAAAATATGCTAGACACAAATTCAGACATATTTACTGTATACTTCTGTTATACAAAAGCATCAAAAGCACTTTATTTAATAACTTTTTCAAATGTACTCTCTAATAAAACTCCTCTTTTGCTTTTCTCCCAATAAACATAATCCAGCATACATTAAATCAAGCTATTAATTATGTACTGCGACACACTCAAAATACATTTAATCTGTAAATAAGAAGCACAGTGGGCTAACTCATGTTACACGGCTGAGTTTTTCTACAATATTTTGTCAGTGAACGGTTCTGAATGTAGTGTTTACATGTGTGTCTCTCAGTATGTGTGGCACAATACAAATGTCCAGAGGACAGTCAGTGTGTGGACTACTACAAAGTGTGTGACCAACACCCAGACTGCCCTGAAGCTACCGATGAGATGAACTGCACTGAAGGTAACAGGCTGCAAGTGTCCTTCTTTTCACACATAAAATACTTCCACAGCCGTCGGCAAAAGGTAGTTGGAAAAATCACTACGATCCCCCTTTTTGGAATATATGTAGTCAGATGCCTCTAACACTACATTTCCTGTGTGCTGTATAACCAAAGCCTCCATTCACCTTTTAAAATGCTTAGCTTATAAAAAGTGTGCTTTAAGATGTAACCACCCAGACGTCATTTTATATCATTGATTCATTCAGTCGTTCAATTCAGTCTGAGGTGTCTGACTTTTTAATTAGAAGGTGACAGTTAGAAAGGTGCATGAAGGTGAGGGATAGGAAGGTGTGGGTTGCATGCAGCAAAGCGCCCACGGCAGAATCAAACCCTGCCTGTCTGCTGCCACAGGGACAGCCAAAAACATATCAGGAATATCTGTTTTCAGTGAGGTAGTGGCCTGTTTTTATCTTGTCCTGCATCCTTTTGGAAGACCCACATGACTTTATCCTGAACATCTCAACAGTAACAGTGCATATTGGTTCCTTTTAGCTTCAAGCTGAACTGATGAGGGAAGCAGACACAGGCCATGATGTAAACTTTATTGTTTAATTGCATTAAATATAAATTTATACTTGTGTCCATGCCCAGGCGTGCAGTGTACAGATATGACCTATGTGTGTGCCGACGGAACGTGTCTGAAGAAACCAAATCCTGAGTGTGACTTTGTCACTGACTGCCCTGACGCCTCCGATGAGAAACATTGTGGTAAGAAGACTCGATCACCTAACACCTTCTAACATTCTAACTTTATTCTCATTATTTTAACTGTATTACATTTACATTTCGAGACTTCTGTGTGCTTCTATGTCAGAGAATTTGTTTCAATAACTCGCAAGCATTTTATTTGAAAAGCTCACACTGCGCACATCAGTGTGTTTAAACATACCTGCGTGTGTGTATCCAGAGTGCGGCCTGAGGCAGTTCTCCAGCCGCATCGTTGGGGGAACGGACGCCTCAGAGGGGGAGTGGCCATGGCAGGCCAGCCTGCAGGTGCGGGGTAACCACATCTGTGGTGGCACTTTAATCGCCAGTCAGTGGGTGGTGTCGGCTGCCCACTGTTTCTATGATGACCGGTAAGGGCAGGAAACAAAAAGGAAGGAAGTGGTGTGATGACTTAAATGTTAGAAAGTGATGTTAATAAGAAGACAACCAAAGGCTCTCTGTTGTGTAAAGATTAAAATATTATCATCCTCTGCCGTGACTTTGATGGAGCATTTTAGTCGTGGTTTTATAAATCAAGTTTATTTCTGCTGCTGCTTCCTCCTTCTGTCCTTCGGTTGCATCTTTGCTGACCGGGGTTTAACTGTGACAGCCTGTCTGAGTCAGAGGCAGAGTATTTATGGATTTGTATACACTTGTGTTTTTCAACCCCACAATCTGGACCATCCCCAAAACTATAGCTGCAGCATCCTCTAGAGCATTACCTATTTTTCTCTGCTTAATTTTCTTGCATGGTGATTAAAAGCTTAAGCAGCCTTCAGAGTCTGTGGATGAGGAAGATAAAAAAGCTGAAAAAGTATAAACAGATATTTCTTGGCATGAGTTAATACTGCTAACTGTGTGGGTGTTTTCTTTTTAAATAGCTCAGGAAAAAAACGCTTTCTTATTGGCCCTACAACACATTTGACCTCTTTGTGTTCCTGCTGCAGTCTCTACTCCCCCTCAGTGTGGACAGTCTACCTTGGCAAACTTCTGATCAACCGCAGCAGCCCTACAGAGGAGGTGGCGCGGGTCCAACGCATCCATCTTCATCATTACTATGACGATGAGTCCCACGACTACGACCTGGCCCTGCTCAAGCTGGACCGGCCCGCCGCTGCGCTGCTGGCTGGGCATGCTCGACCCACCTGCTTGCCCCCACCAACACACCAGCTGGAGCCAGGCCTGCTCTGCTGGGTCACTGGCTGGGGGGCACTCCGTGAGGGGGGTGAGCTTTGAAAGCAGGGAAGGGGAGGGCTTGAAGGATGTGCAAAGAAGCTAGAGTATGGAATAGCAAATTACAGATCTTTTAATAACCAGTAAACCTGCTATGGCAGTGATTTCCAAGTTTTTGGTTTGACCTCTCAAAATGCCTCCATATCTGCTACACTTTATCACCTCAATTTGCTTTATATTGTAAAGTAAAGACTCTACAATAGTATAGAAAAACCCCAACAATCAGACAAACCTCTATAAGCAAGCACCTCTGACAGTGAGACTCCCCTGGTGAGCTGGGGCTTTTTATGTTCACTCATTGAATGCACGGGCTTCTTTCAGAAACTCCAGTTTCCTCCCACAGTCCAGAAACATGAGTATTAGGTTAACTGGTGATTTTGAATTTGTTGTAGGTTAGATTTTAGAGTGTGTGGTTGTCTCTGTTTTGGCGTTATGATGGACTAGAGACCTGTCCTTGTGTACCGTGCCATCTGGACTACTTTCTCTCTGGGAATGACATTAAAATATTGAAATAAAACTGCAAAGACACAGGTCCATTTCAGTAACTTGAACGAGCTGACAGAAGGTTTAACAGTCTGTGACCTAGCCATCTGCTGTTCAGAGCAGCTGTGCCAGTAATAAACCCAAACTTTAAACCTTTAAAAAATGAGTATTAGCCACAGAGACCAGTTTTTTTCCCATGTTTATTTCTGCTGTAAAGTTGGGCAGTTTGATATAGGAGACCGTGGCAACTGACTTGCTTTCAGAGCCAGCCTCAAGTGGCCATCCATATTTATTAGAGCAAAGTTTAATTGGTTTCCTCTATGATCAAACATCTTGGAGGTTTAAAATTCATCTTCTGACATTTTAAATGGATTGGGGACCTCTATCCTACCTGCCTCTCAAAACAGTCATTTTTCATTCTCCACGATCATAAATCACATTGAGCTACAGGCTGCTTTATGGACAGACACAACAACAGACCTTAAAAGACACTTAAATCCCACTGAGCAGTTTCATAAACACTACTGGTCCTAGAGTGATGTTACATTTACTGCTTTAAAAATGGAAGGTTTACTCTAAAAGAAGAGCACTCACTCGCTTTTTAGTTTTTCTTTTAAGCAAGTTTGACTCCTGTTGCAGAATGATTACCGACTTATGTATTATTCAGTGTGATGCATCATTTTCACAACCAAACGACTGTGTGGTTTTTAAAAACATCCTTTTGTCAGTGCGTGCGAGATATGGGGAGTTTTTGTGCAGACGGTGATGTGGAGGCAAGTGGGTGTGCTATTTTGATATCTGAGCAAACACACATGGAAAAAAAAAACCTAATTTAAATCAAAAAGGCAGGAGGAGATGGAGTGGTGTGGGTGGAAGTGGTTTCTGCTATCACGATGAACTTAATAAACTGAAGGCTGAGAGAGAGAAAAGGTGTGGGAGAACATATACTGGCATGCAACGCTTCATAAGAATCAATACAACTTTTGAGAAAAATCGAAGGTAAATTTGAATACATTAAAATGCATTTGCATGATCATAATCGGAATAAAGTGTTTTCTTGTTACCGTAAGGGAAGACCTTTGTTGTTCATTATTAGTAAGTGAAGACACGTCAACCAGGCTTTCCAGCAAACATGGGTGCATCTGGGTTCTACACTATGGGGAACAGCAGCTGCCCACACAAAGGCACACCACACATTTCACACCAGTAGCAGGGATCACAGAGGGCTGCCTAACTGTGCCCCGTGGTACATTACAGCCACCAGCTGTATGCAGCGTGGAACAGCGTTTCTGATTCTGCATCAATCACCTTCTCTCAGCTTCTCAGTCTCCTGTTATTTCTCGCAGTGTACTAAAACATGTTCCGTGGTTTCATTACCCTGTATAGTGTTTCATTAATATAAGTAATATGCTGGCAGACATACCCATGTAGGCCCAAAGTCGGGTGGCTGTGCCTCATTAGATAGCATGGGTAATATAGCAGCTGGAAGGTTGGTGGATCAATTTCTCTGGATACTTCAGTCTACAGTGTGTCGGGGAATGTTAGACAAAGCACTTAGTTCTAGGAAAAAGTGTTTGAATTAAATTGTCTTTTCTTTGAGCCTTCTAGGAAAGTGGTTAAAATGCTCAGAGTAGAAATACCTGTGCACACACAGGATCCACAGCACATTTGCCCCTTTAGGACCCCTGTATGAGCTTTCTATGGGCAAGCACACAATGGGTTCCCTCACACCAGTCCATAAAGGGCACATTAGGAATGTTTATTGGACGCTGGAGGTTGCAGAGTGTTATTAGTGCTGTTGGGTGATATCTATTGCAAATGGTGCTGCACCAAAATCTTCTCTGTGATTGCTTTGCTCGTTAGCAGATTGCTGCAGTTTGCATGAAAGTATGCTGATTTGTCTGCAGACAAGTCAACAGTGAAAGTTGAAAAGTGCGATGGGAAGTGAAAACGGAGAATGTTTGGCTTCACGGTAAACGTTGTGTCTTACAGTTGAAAACAACATGTTTCAGAAGACACAGATTTGACTCTGAACGCTAGTTAGCATTTTCCAGGCGTACTATGAGTGATGACAACCAAAACAATCAAAAGAAGGTTGTCAGTGCAGAAATGTATACCTTTTTGCAACAACCTCCCAAAAGCACTCGCAGTCAGGGAAAACTTGTTTTTCCCTCATCGCTGGCCATTTCCAAACAATTGCTAATGGGTCTCTAAGCTGGTGTTACTGGGGCCTTAAGCAGTGCACAAAGACTCAACAGCATTATGACTGACAGGATATTCTTTTGCCCTCTGTCACTCTGTCCTCTTACTTTTCCCAGGCACAGCCAGTAATGTGCTTCAGAAAGTTGATGTGCGCCTGGTTAGCGAGGAATCCTGCATCCGTTCCTATGGACACCTGGTTACTCCCAGAATGCTTTGTGCCGGTTACCGCAATGGAAGAAAAGATGCCTGTCAGGTACAAAGAAATACAAGCTGCATGTGCTTTGAACTTTGGCAGCAAAAATGGATCAAATGACTAAAAATTAAAAAGCAAGTGGAACTCAGAATGTCCAACACAACACTTAGCACTTCATCCCCTCAGCTCTACACATTGTTTCCTTTACAGCCTGCACTTTTACTGTTTTGTCACAATCTCACCATTCCCGTCTAAAATATCTTTACCTGCATTTGAAAAAAGAAGAGTGAACAAAACAAGTCAAAAGAGGACCAGGCTTTGGTTTGCTGGGTGGAGATACCGGACAAGTGTGTGTGTAGAACTGCCAAGAAACTGTAGGTAAAATCAAAGCAGAGATTTAAATTAAACTGATTTTGTATGGATTCTCTCTATAACTAACATTACAAAAAAATCTAAATTCAATAAGTTCCTGCAGTGTTTTAAAGTTGATATGATGCAATGAAAGTAAAATTCTATGTATCACTTAGAATCGTGTAGTCCTGCTCTCTGTCAAGATGTCCTCAAAGCCACAAAAAAGGAGAAACCGATTAAAATTTTAAATATTAAAAAAATCTATAACGTTATTTCCTCTTTTTAGCCCAGTTTTTTTAAAACACATCGATGTTATAAAATGAGTTTTAAAAGCCACATATCTAAGAACCCCTGATGATGATGCTATAGTGAGTCACTGTAGTAGTTATGAGTACTGTCAATTATTATGGTGCCTCTGTGCTGTGAAGACCCAGTCTTATTTGTGCCTCGTTAACATTACCTTTGTCTGTTAGGGAGACTCGGGCGGTCCCTTGGTGTGTCAGGAGCCTTCAGGTCGCTGGTTCCTGGCCGGGGTGGTGAGCTGGGGTAGAGGCTGCGGGCGTCCAGACTACTACGGTGTCTACACTCGCATCACCAGGCTCACCCACTGGATAAAGCAGGTCATCAGCAGCTCCTGAGTTACTGATGTCATACTTGCACCAGAACACCAAACCGGAAGAGAGAGAAAAAATGCCTTAAGGTGTTCACAGATGACCTGAGACTGGTTCTTATCCAAACAATGCAACTGTGAAATGTTAAAGGCTTTTTTCCAAAGTAACAAAAGTAATGAAATACTGAAACGATACGCCTCTAATAACTGATAGTAAAAAAACGCTTTGAAATTGTACCCAGCAAAAATCATTTACAAGCTGAATCTTCCTCATTTGAAAGATAATAAACTTCACATATAGCCTCACATATTCTGTGTTTGCATCTCTGATTTAAAATGAATGTGAAATATGTGTAACAAGACAAGTCCACAGTCATGATACTCGCTGCGTGAGTCTATTTATACCTTTAGTACTTTTAGCCTCCAGCTGGGTACTTTGGAGGAGACTGAGACTCCTATACTTCTGCAGACTCCAACTTGTTTTTGCAGCGGAGAAGGCGCCCCCTGCTGGTTATTAGAAAGAATGTTGTTTTAAGGCTGCACCTTTTGGACCTGGAAGTTTTGGCTTTTGTTCATATATGGTCTTTGCATATCTAATAGCAACATAGTAAAACGTAAACCAAAGAAAGAAAAGATCATCTAATTAAGGGATGTTAAGCTGGTTTCAGTGCCCTACAGTTTGCCATTATTCTACACTACAGAAAAATCTGTCAGCACAACTCTTTCAGTTTAAACTGTGAGAGATAAATGTTTAAAATTACAGAAATGTTTTGGTAGATCATTGCAAAGACCACTCTGTAAGTATAAAACTGAAAGTTTTTTTGGTTAATTAACAGAAGTCCAGTGTTTTTGCTATTTTTGGGAGGACATAGGAGTGTTTTTACTGTGGATCCACTGGTAAGAAACAGAAATTTCTATAGTAGATAGATTACTTTGGTGTGACCTTGGGAGCATAACAGTCAGGAAAAAAATTAAAACTTGTGACAATACAGTTAAAATCTATGACTTCTTTCAGATTTTCTAAAGATGTCCTCCACGCCTTATGTGTGACACCCCTGATCTAAACTTCATAGTGTCTAAAGTATCTTAAGAGACACAATTACAATAACAAGCAGGTGGGTTACGGTTGGCTTCTTAATTAGGACACAGAAAAGTGAGTTTTTGGTTAAACGATGGATCATTCTGGAGAAAAAGTGGGGGGAAGCCATAGCAATCATGTAGGAGTTGCATATACAAAAAATGTTAATATTTTTTTCAAGCCATTTGTGACAAATACATAATGCACACTTCACACAGTGCACATGTCTGTGAGCAACATTTACCTCCATGCAGCTCCTGCTGAGGTAAAACTTCATGCTTTGGAGGTACAAGATACAATATCATACGTTACACTTTGGATGTTGGTTTACACCAGGACTATTTTATGAGCTGCCATAAGCAACATTCGTAAGTGTTAAAAATATGACTTTATCAGAAAGTTATTTTGACAGAGATGGAATAGTTACGTATTTTAACACAGTATTAAAATAAGGTACAAAGAGATATTTGTGTTGGGGTACCACTCGGTGGTAGAGCAGGTCAGCCACTAATCAGAAGATCCGTGGTTTGATCCCAGTCTGCTCCAGTCTGTATGCCAAATATCCTTGGGAAAGATGCTAATCCCATGTTGCTCTCCGATGCATGCATCGTAGTGTCAATGTGTGAATGGCAGATAGAGCTTTGAAGAAGTGAATGAATTAGTTGTGTAAAGTGCTTTGAGTGCTCAGACAGAGTAGGAAAGCGCCGTTTACGTTTACCTTGTTTTGAGCAGACAACTGTCCCACATGGTGATATAACACATGGGATTATGCAGACATGACAATGTCGTGTGGCTAACTCCTCAGCTTAAGACAAGATGAGGGCTCAAAAATATTCAAAAAACAAAGTAAATTAAAATGCACCAAATTTCAAACCACCCCTAATTGTGTGGCATCATTAAATGTACTGAAACTACTCCATGCAAAAAAGGAAAATTCTGCTGATTAGAGGAGCTCAGGTGGCAACTTGTTTCAGATTGGGTTGATTTTATTTGGAGTGACCCAGGTGCAAGGTTTAATGGGCTCTCACATGACAGACGGTTTTTCTTTTCAATTGATTTTATCATGTATAACAACAACATTCTCAAAGGGACTGGGAGCAGGTGTTTGGCATAACTCCCTGTTCTTGGATTCTCATGAGTCACTGTGATTTCTTCTTTTTAATCGGATGAAGGGCGATGTTCTCAAAAGGTAGATTTGATTACAGATACTAACATCTATCTGTCTATTGGTAATTGTGCTCACTCCAAAGAAACCAACCATCTCTCCTAAAACACACATTACATAAAAGTTATAAATTGATTTTCAAATAAGTATTTTAACTCCATAGCAAAACATAGCTTAGTACTTGGTGGAAAAATCTTTGTTGGTAAGCACAGCAGGGTATCTATCTATCTATCTATCTATCTATCTATCTATCTATCTATCTATCT